GAGGCTCACATCTGTCCAACACAAGGACGAGACTCTGGGGTTTGTGCTGCAGCACATGGAACCAAAGTCCGAGTTCTCAGTGACACCAATTCCCACCTTTGAAGTGAAAGTGGATGTCAAAGAAACACAGAGAGAGGGAGGGCGAGTTGTCGAGTTCGAGAGAGAGAGAGAGAGAGGAGAGAAAAGAGAATGAGAGAGAGAAAGAGCGACAAAAGAATCTGAAAGAGAGAGAAAAGAGAGTGAGCGTGAGAGAGAGAGAAGAGCTTATGACACAACTGCAGATGCTATCAGAATCCACCCAAAGCTTCATGAGATGTTCCCCACTCTTCCTGGGCTAAACCAAGCAGTGCTTCAGTCATAGCGGATGACATAACTGGTATTTTCCCTGCCATCTCGGTCCCCAAACGAGTCCCATGCACGCTTTCCTCATCAATCACTCCTTCCTTTTACTGCAGGACAGTGATAAACCACAACATTTTATTGCCCCTAGTAACACCACCACACATCCCATGGGCCTTCAGGGTTCACCACCATCGTATTACCAACTTGTCCAGGGGACACTGAGTGCCTAGGTCAGATTTCTAAAAGCACTTTTCCCCGAAAACAAGCATTAATTTCTGCATATTTTTCAAGGTCAGGCCAACCTGTTCCAAATCCCTGTGGTAAACACCACAATAAAAGGAGGGACTTGTATGGCGCTCTGGCTAAAAAACTCAGAACTCAGAAGCCGTGATGGAAATGCGTCTTTTAGACACTGGATCATCAGCTGCTTTCTGATCATGTGGGGTTATAAACGAGGACTGTGCCAATTTTCCAGGGAAATTTCCCATTCCCCCTATCCCTCCAGTGTCACTCCAGGTCAGGAACGTCAGGAGACATCCACTTCCCTGGAACGACGGCCTGCAGCCAGCCCCACCAGCATCCCCCCCCCCCACATACACACGTCCAGGGGGGGCTCCTTCAGGAAGCTCACACTTTTCCCACAGACCAACACGAGCAGCAGGAGCTAATGAAGGGACAAGAAAACAGGCAGCTGGAAAAGTGACAGGGAGACGGAAAGAGGAAACATCTTTCACTTTAATGACACTGCTATGTATCCTCTTCTGCCATCGGGGGGGGGGGGGTGGCCAATTGGCCTGCTGGACAAGCAAGGGGAAATTCGAAACGTCGGCGCTCTCCGGGGACCAGAAGTGTAGGATGGGGCCACGTTCCTGCAGGAGTGAGGCTGGGAGGAGTGGGGGGGGGGCTGCCCCTAGACCCCCCAGCACAGGCATTCCGACCTCCGGCTGGGAACTGGGACCCTCCAGCTCGCAGGGATCTGATGCAGTGTCACTGTTTTCCTGGTCCCGGGCCCAAATAGGAGCGAGTCTCAACTCAATCACAAGATGGCGCTGTTAATCGACTAGCGACTAATGGATATTTACACAAAAGTGCAATTGCACCCAATCACACAACCAGACTAGATGTTTCATGTAGGTCCAGGTCACACCCCAACACAGCCTGGTTCTCCTTAAGTGAGCAAAGGAGATCAAAATGCAGCCCTTCTGACAGAACGCTGAGGCACCCGCTGTAACCACCAGCCGCCATAACAACACACACACACACACACACACACACACACACACACACACACACACACACACACACACACACAGCTGGCTGCTACCATTCTAGTAACACAACACTGAAAAAACTAAATATATATTTCTGGTTTTTACGACTCTGCCGTTGATAGATTTCAATTGAATAAACTCCGACCATAACCGTGCTTGCCCCCCAGCGTATGCCATCTGCAAAGCAGCTCTGCTCCACAATACCCCCCCCGTCACTAGTCGTGACAAAGCCACTGACCTCAGACACATGGGCACGCACCTGCTGCTCGATAGAGAATCTTGGGCTCGAAGAATATGCAGGGGTTCTTGTCGGCGATGCAGGACAGGAGAAGACCCTTGGCTTGGACTGGACTCCTAGGAATCACCACCTGAAAAAAGAAATGAAAAGCATGGCATTTACACCTGGGGAGAGATCACACTACGGTTAACACTGGCAGAGTGTTAATCTTCAGGCAAGTGTGCATATTCATTGCTGATATTAGGGGCGATTTGGAGCATTCCAAGTTCATTATCTCGAGGAGGGGTGACAAATCGTTTCCTTCAAGGGGGCAGCACCTTGATGCCTGGGCAATGGGCGAAGAAGGCCTCCGGGCTCTGAGAGTGGTAGAGCGAGCCGTGGCCCACGCAGCCCCAGGGAGCCCGGATCGTCAGGTTCCCGCAGTCGAACATGTTCCCCGAACGGTAGCGGTACTTGGCTGCTTCGTTCACGATCTGGAAACACATAGGTGAGAGAAAGAGAGTCAGATCTGGGAAATTCTCCGCCTCAAAGGGACCGAAGGACCAGCAAGACCCCCGGTATGAGAGCGGCCGGACAGGACGCCGCCGTGGTGAAGCTGTCGCTGTTCTCCACGGCCATGTGGCTTTCCTGTTCCCATCTCAAGTTCTGTTGGCAAGGTGAGGGACTGCAGGATGGGGGACAGGGTGTGTAGATGCACTTCTCTCTCAGCACCACAGTTCAGCATCTCCAAAGCAGCTCTCTGGACCGGGGTTAAGACAGACTCCGGGATGTAGTTCTCCAAAGGCTTTAAATCTCTTTTACTCTAGATGTGGTATAATAATGCAAAATGCAAATGCTCACTATTTTTAATCGCATTTCTTATTTCATCCTTCTCTAAGTATACTATTCCGTTTCTATTTGCATCACTCTTGCTTCCCCTTCAATTCTGGAAGCAGGAGGAAAAGCATTTCACTACGCGAATGGGTGTATGATTGTGTACGAGACAAATAAAACCTGAAAACTTGAAATGAATACCTGCGTGGGGGGAGAGGAACCTAGAGACATTTTTATGGATGGCAAAACCTAAAGGGGGGGGACACCAGTCTAATTTAAACCTTCCTCCTATGACAGGTGCAGTGATCAGCACAGTTAATGACTGGAAAGGGCTACAATGAATTGCTGAGGAGGCAAACAGCGCCGAGTCTCACCTGGTCAAACGCCGGGAAGATGTAGTCGGCAAACTGGATCTCTGCGATTGCAGTGGCACCAGCCACAGCCACACCGATCCCAAATCCCACAATGCCTTGCTCACATAGGGGGGTGTTGAACACCCGGTCTTTACCTGAAGACGGACACACAGACGGTCATACGCGGTTGCTTCTCAAGGCCCAGGCTGGTAACAGGAAAGAGGGACTGCAAGGAATGCTGGGAACACTAGGACACTGGGACTGCTGGGTAATTCCACAGTTTGGCCTACATGCTAACGCTGCTGCTGTGAATTGCTGGGACAGTAAGACGGCTATGGACCCCTGAAGCTTCGCAGTGGATCCACGTTCTCCATAAAGCTGTTGGGCCAGGTGCTGGAACCAGTTCAAACTTTGGCATCAAAATTTTAAAAAGGTATTTTTCCCCCAAAGAGCTGCAGGAGAGCCGCGAATTTAAGCTGGAATTTTCCCATTACACTGTTCCGCGCAAGTGCAGCGCCTCCTGCTGTATCTCTGCTGCACTGCACCTCGAAAACCTCCCTCAGAAGCACTGGAATTATGACAATACACACAGGTGTGCAACTAATGAATGATTAAATATAGATACATCAAATAAAGCGTCCCTGACGGCAGTGAGGGCTGGTAGGCTTCCCCTGAGACCCGCTGCACCGTCGGGCCCAAAACAAAGCCAGCCACTTATTATAGAATCCCCATTTATACGGAAAATTTGGCAGCTGCCAGCTGATGTCGGGCCACAAAGGGGAGCAGGTAAGCCATTTGGGGCTGCAGGGCATGTGTGTCAGCACCAGGGGGCGCCCCTGCAGCCTGCGGCATTCATTACTGCATGTGCCAAATGAGTGACGGGAGGTCACTGGCTTTCAAAGGGAACCAAAATCAACACGGCAGCAGAAAATGAACAGTGCAGTGGCGTGACATCAGCAGTGACATGAGGGGGCTGAACGGGAGGACGCAGCAAAAAAGGAAAAAATGTGTCATTACTGTCAATTGCAAACAGCACAAGGACAAACTTCTTGTTCTGCCCAAAGCAGCATCCAATCAGGATTTCAAAAAGACATTTGTTTACACTGCTAAGGACAAAGTGCACTGCAGTTTGCATGGAAGGGGAAGGGATCAAATCCAGCCTGATGTTAATCATATTAATAGAGCACCAATAACAACTATAATCACCATCTGGTTTGAGTAACCTACAGCTTAATCTGGGAGGCAAGGTGGACACATCAGACAGTAAAAAAAAAAACAAATAAAATAAACAAACACTTCTGACAGATCGCTGAGGCACCCGCTGTAACCACCAGCCGCCATTACAACACACACACACACACACACACGTTTGTAATTATATCTCTGTGGGGACTCTCCATTCATTTCTATGGGGAAAACTCAAATCCCAACATGACAACCTTAACCCCCACCCAGCCCTAACCTTAACCATAAGTAACCAAACAAAATACGAGACTTTTACTGCGCACCCCCCACAGGTGTGACAGTCCTATACCCCACGCCACTGCACCACCCAGTACAAACTCACAAGCATATTCTGTGGTGACTCTGCTGAGTCTGGCAATCACCTAAATACTGTCACTTTAATGAGCATTTTAATTAGAGTTAAAAAAAAAAAAAATCCAGCATACCTGGAATATATAATTTACATTTTATTTATCTGGCAGACACTTTCATCCAAAGTGATGTACATTAAACTGAAGTCATCAAAACTGCATTACAAAAATAAGCACAAATCCTCAAAACAATCTGCCAGATTCAGCTCCTTAAATGTCATCCAGTTGTAAAATTTGCTACTTTGCTGCCACCTAGTTGTGACACTACAAGCTACAGACCACCAGACAGTTCCAGTGAGGCTTCACAGTTGAAGGGGTTAAAGCACAATGAATAGCGTGGCTTAAAATAAGATAATGATTATGAAACTATGGGACTTTTGACAATGGTTCAATCTGTTGAACTTGAACTCGGGGACGAGTCCGACACCTAGCTTAACCATCGTACTTTTAGGCGAGGAGTCACAGCAGGCAGGGGGACAGTGGTTTGTATTTAAAAAGGCTTCCAGCAGCCACATTCTAGGAGGGTGGACAGACACAAACAACCTACCGTACTTGTCTCGGAGACCCACGGTGCAGCGAAACACCCCACCAAACGCCACATCCTCCCCAAAGATAACTGGAAGACAAACAGAAGGCAGTGATGTCACTTCCTGGCAAATACAGGTGTGTACTGACAAGCAACCAATTATACAACCCGGTTCAGGAGACAATTAAATGGAAATGTAAGAAAACTCTGCATTTGCTGTAGGGCAGTGGTTTTCAACCTGTGGGCGGGCCGCCAATTATTATTGTGGACGGTATTGCAGGGGGGCCGCCAATTATTATTAATAGAAATTGTAATATTGTTAATATAATAAAAAATGTCTAGTCAAAATCAAATAAATCATAATTTGATATATAATGAAATAAATTACCAGTTTATTCAATAAAGACAATTAACAGCCTTGCTTCCGAGTACTTAGTTAACCCGACACAAAAAGCGAGATCGTTTAAATTCTTTTGCAGTGGGCCGCGGAAACATATGTGTTTGGCTGTGTGGGCCGTGAGTTAAAAAAGGTTGGGAACCACTGCTGTAGGGTATTACTGCGCCAAATGCAGGGGTTAGATAAGACTCATATTGTAGGGGCCCTGTTAGGTAGAGTGTGTCGAAATGGCTTCTTACTACAAATAATATTCTTGCTTATTCATTTGAAATGTCCCTCGTGAAAATTCAATAAAATATTAAGTTATTCATGGGTTGCTTCTTAAATACGTCTTGCAGCATCTAGTTAGTAAGTTTGGCAGCAGTATCATATGCGAAATAAGTTAAAATGCAAAATCACAGGACAGAAATCATTTAGGAATGTCTCCGACTTGAGAAATTAAGGTCTGGTCTGTGCTACTATGAAAATTAACATTAAATGAGATGGGAAAAGCAATCATTTTAGCGCAAAACTGGACTTTTTATTAAACCAATCGCTTTGAATCTTACTAAATTTTGGGACATTAACACTGAAGGAGACCTAGACTGCGGCAGCACAGTGGTTAGCGCTGCTGCCTCACAGCAAGGAGATCCTGGGTTCGGTCCCGGGTTCTTTCTGTGTGGAGTTCGCACGCTCTCCCCGTGTTCACGTGGGTTTTCACTGGGGGCTCTGGTTTCCTCCCACGGTCCAAAAGCGTGCAGGACAGGCTGATTGGTGAGTCTAAATTGGCCCTGTAGTTGTGTGTGTGTGTGTGTGCGCGTGTGTGTGTGTGTGCGTCTTGCGGTGTGTTGGCGACTGCCCAGGGTTGGTTCCCGCCTGTGCCCCTTGTTCCCGAGATAGGCTCCGGTCCCCCCCGCGACCCCAGTTGGGATTAAGTGGTTACAGTGATGGATGGATGGAAACCTCCTAGAGAGGTGAGAGGAGGACAGCAGACTCATCTTATTTGCTCTTCCTGTTTGTTCTAACATCAGTAGTTTCTAAACATTTATAATTACAATTCTGAACTTGAAAGCACACAAACTCACTTTAAATAACAAGGCCACTTTATAATTCATTTAGTCTGTTTCTTCTGTTCTGAAAAGGCAAATGTGTGCCGTGTTTAAAGGAAAAACAAAACAGACAAACAAACAGTCTGCGTTGGAACAAACAGCACGAGTGAAAACAAACACAGCTTGCACTGAAAGGCTGGGATCCATGTGCCAATGTCACATCATTTGATCACATACACAGATCGGTGTTATCCATCCATATGGAAAATGAAAAGACAAAAAGGGTTTTTAATTTTTCACATCTGACTCATACATGAATGGAAAATTAAAATGCAAATGGTGCTATTTCATTTTAATTTTTGCAGGAGTTTTGCGCACAGACTTTGGAAACTAAATGGCAAAGTGGAGATTGTATTTTCACTTTATTTTTGCTGGATGCGTGTTGGAATGCTACCCAGCGAGTTGGGAACTGGCCCCGAAAAGGGGTGGGCAAGCAAACAGACCAGTGAAAAGCAAGCTGCAAATATGGCAATAGACTGTGTGAGGTTCTCTCTGACGCCTGGGCAGTCACTCACGATTGCAGTGTACGCCGCATATCATCCCTACTAGGACCAGCCTGGATACGAGGCCGGCGTTCACACAGTGCCCAACGTCTGTATCTGACCATGTAGCGATCTGCTAGTCCCATACCTGCTGTGGGATCACTGGAGAGGGTGTTGTCCAAGGCGCTGGTGATCGACTGGAACAGGTTCATCTTCTGTGTTGGGCCTGTTCGGACACAAAGTGCCAGCATTTCAATAGACACACCTCATTACAAGGACCAACAAACAGCCTAACATAACCTACTGTTCATTATCATCTAACAAGAAGGGAGCATTTCTCTACAAATGTTTAATACTACAGTTACACACCATCTAAAAGGTGGCGTCCGTGTTATACCACAGTGAAGCCACATCCTCATTTGGACCCTGCAGTTATTTGTGAGGAGAGTGCCCACCTGTATTCAACATGTATTTCGATAAAAACCGAAAGCCTTCCCTTGAACACGGGGTCAAGCTGCATTTCTGCCACACGGCGTCGCTGTTCGCGCCCCAACAGAACTGGGATACGACTTAAGAAACTAATCAATGGGAAGGTGTCCGCGCAGAGCGACTACAGCAGGTAATGCGTGACAGGGTCGCTCCGAGTGTCCAGACGCATCTTGAAGACACCTAAGTATTCCACAGCATAACACGGACAGCTGTCAACAGCGCGGTTTGAGATGGAGTACTAAGTGGGACAAGAACAGTCCAAGGTTCAGTAAAACCCCAGGATAAATAGTAACTGCGTTTGTACGAATGCACCCCAAGCTCTGAGCAATTATAAAGGCACGAAACGCCACCGCCGTAAGAGCCATCGCAAAGACCTCAGGGGCGAACCCCATAATGAATGATTCCACATCAAAATGTTATCGACAGACAGGCACACATACACCCAATAGTTTCCCCAGGAGCTCCCAGGGATAGACCCATCCATCAAGGTTACTTTAACAGCCGAAGATACAGCGGCAGCCCGGGGCTCCTCTTACCATGACGTGTGGGGACTGGGTCCGGATGGAAGGTGAAGTGCGCTGCGGCGTGCGGGACGCGGATCGGGGCTCCCAGCCACCCCAACCCGGCCCGCAGCACCTTCGCTCCGGACGCGGTGCGCAGAACAAGCCGTGCGGCGGCCGCCATAGCAGTTGAACGTAAACCGGAAACAGGGGGAGAGACCAGGGCGCCGTCACAGAGGGTGGGGTCGGAGGCGTATTTATATGGCGCATCCGCCTGCGCGCACAAGAGCTAATCCATGAGCACTTGTCCGTAAAAGGCCACCCTCATACACAAAGAGCAGCCTGTCGGCGTCCAAATGCACAGACCCCACCTGCTGCGTTAGACAAGTATACCTGAGCCGCTACAGCAGCACAGTAGAGGCAGGAGTGTGTACATGGCGGAAGCTATGGGCTATGATGGCTAGCTGGAAGATGATTGGAGTCCAGAGTGCCCGCCTCCCTGTCACTCACCGATTCAAAACATATCATAGGCTAATGCGATTGGCCCTTGATTCATAAACTGGATCAGATGATATGCTGTCTGAATGATTTACTGCTGCTGTTTAACAGAATTAGAATTCCCAGGATGCAGTCTGGGTAAAATCTAGGCTGTTTCCAAGATAAAGTACCAAGACAAGAAAAAACATTTAAACACTTTAAAATTCTCTTATATTAAGTTTATTTGTCAGAGGGTTGTAATTTTGTCTTAGAGTAAGAGATAAAACAAAAAACAAAGTGTCATAGCAATTCAATGAAGAGTTACATGAAGACTGTACATGGTGTCTCCTAGCATAGGTTAGCAGTCTTCTTCTCATAGTGGTCTGATAGCACCTGCTAGAGCGCCCCCAGCAGGACACATGGAGCTGGAGGATCCAAGCTGAAACAGGTTTGCAAAACGTGCACGTTCAACAAGCAAGGAGTGTCTCCAGAAAGGACTGGGTTCGAAAGGAATGTCCTCAGGAGCGGGCATCTTCTGGGGGCTGAAGATGTGGCAGCTGGCCTGCCTCGGAATGTGGCTGAGACGTAGGTGCCAAGCGATCTGTGGAACACCTCACATCTTCCCGGATGTCTGGCTGGAAGCCTTCAGGCACTCGGACACATCCAGCCGCTTGCCGCTATTGCACATCCGCGCCAGATTCTGCGGGAGGGAGGAGGACAACATGGGACGGGTCACCACAGCTCTGGCACACGTGCCACGCCTGACCGCTCAAAGCGGGTGAGCCTTCTCCCACACTGTGGATCTGGAACCTTTTCCTGCCAAGGAGCGGTGTGTGGCTCGCTGGGTTAGGGTGCTGTGCCTGTGATTGGAAGATCACCAGTTCCCAGTGTGTTTTCACCATTGGGGCCCTGAGCAAGGTCCTTAATCATTGGACCCCCTCAACCATCCATCTAAGAAATCTTTGATAAGCACTGCCTTATCAAGGCACTGCCAATATCCTCAATCACCCATCTCACCCCTCCAATGGCCTCTTCAACCCCCTCCCATCTCGAAGGACACTCTGGAGTATTTTACAACAGCCGTTTACAGTCAAAACCCACTGCACAACCCTAGTGAAAAGTTGCACTGTTTTGCAGAGCAAATTTATTTATTATTGTTGTGTGTTTTGTGTGTAAAGCTGTTTTTGAAGTCTCAGACAAACGCTGTTTTGTTTCATTGTGTTCCTGCTTACATTTTGAAATGACAAATGGCATCTTTCCATTGCTACCAAGAACCAAGCCGTACCATGATGATAACTGTAATTATTCATTAGTAGTACTGCACATTCTGCAGTGGAAAATCAAAGCCAGCTGGAATCGCACTGTAACTAGACTGTCTTCGTGGTATGGCTCGGGTACGGGCGGGTTCCTGCATGCCAGTGGAAAAAGCGCCAAAAGTTTGCCTTGACGTCACCCCCAGTTACTCCAAGGACCGTCTGACCCTGGTTTCACAACTGTATGTCGCTCTGCATATAAGCGTCTGATGAATCCACTCTTAGAAGAAACACATGTTAAAAAGCAGTGCTTCACCCACTGGAGCCTGGTACTCACACTGGCTGCCCTGGCGATGCTGTTGGGGGACTGCAGAGCTGCCAGTTCATTAAGGATGCGCTGCAGGTCGGCATTAGCTGGCTGAGCTGCAGGGGGAAGCATTACAGGGATGAGCTGAGGCCCAGGGAATGCACTGTGCGCGTGTGTCACGCGTGTATGCATACATACGTGGATTGGGCGACGGTAGCGGCTGAAGCTGCAAGTAGGGGTGACTTAGGAGCTCGGCTATGGAGATGCGTTCCTTAGGGTTCCTCACCAGACAGCGCTGCAAACACGGCACTTGTCACGTCACGGAACACGCTGGCGAGATACCCCACATCACCCCATCATGCCTGTCGCCCACCTTCAGCACATCCAGCAGGTCCTTCTCGGCGACGTCGGGGAAGTCGATCTGGTGCGAGGGGTCGATGATGGCGTGGAGCTTGCTGATCTGGTTGGTGATGCTCTGGAAGGGTGTCTTCCCATAGGTCATGTAGTATAGGATGCAGCCCAGCGACCACACGTCACCCTTTGGGCTGATCTGGGAACAGGGAGACAGAATCAGAATCCTCTTTCTCCCAAACAGAAACTGTCTGAAGTTACAGACTGCAAAGTACACATATAAATGTGCTTTTCTGTCCAGCTGCAACACTGAAGCAGGAGAGCAGAATTGTCCATGAGCGACTTAAGTCTGCACAGCACCCTCCTCTCTGCCAGCGTTGAGCGTATCCAGCTCCTCCCCAAGAACTATGGTTACTGAACTCCCTCCCCCCCATAGAAAGTGGATGTGAATGATCACACCAAGGCTGCAGCTGGGCTCTCACCTTGGAGCCGGGCTTCCCTCCCTTGGACGTGTCTTTGATGGCCTCCGGTGGCATATAGCTCAGAGTGCCCAGCTGGAAGGACAGCAGAACCGGTGTGAGAAGCCGACAGCCTCATACAGAAAGACGTGGGCCCCGGCGCCCCGGGGCCGCCCTCGCACCTGCGAGTCCTTCATGATGCTCGTCACGTCCGGCTGGATGCGGTTGGCGATGCCGAAGTCGATGAGCTTCAGTGTGGCGTTCACAATCACGAAATTGGCCGGTTTCAAGTCACTGTGGACGATTCCTGTAAACAAACACAAAACAGTGGTGGATATGGCTTCGACTGATACCACGACCGGTACTGAATGCAGTGCCTGAAGGAGCTGGAATTAACAAGCTGGAATTAAGAACCTGCAGAGAAGATCATTACAGCACATGGCTTTGGCTCACTCCACGTGGTCAGTGGCTGCTTACCATGCCTGTGGATGGTCTGCACCGCCTCCAGCATGTTCTTCCAGTAGAGCTTCCTCTCTAGGGGGTTGACCTCCTTTCGGTTCCGCAGCCAGGTGTTCAGGTCCAGGTTTCCACACTCCATTAGCATGTAGATGTAACTGTTTGTGATCTCACTGGAACCAACATACACATAGTCTGAATTTATGAACCGGGGCCACACATGCTGCCTATTGATCCTCCACCCAGCAGGGCGGCGCTGTTTAAATGACTGAGAGGTCACCCACTAGTCATAAAGCTTGATAATCTGATCGCTGTACTGCTGCAGGTGGTTAAGGTGCTCGATCTCATTTTTGTAGCTCGCCACCGTCTGGATGTCAGCCTCCTCCAGATTCACGTACTTCACGGCAAATAGCTGTTTACGGTGGTCCAACACCTGGTACACCTGGAATTACCCACAATGCTGGGAGATGAATGCTGACCCCTGACTCAGTTGTCATACAGCCATCAAACACTCGGACTGAAAGAGGAAAGGTAAAAAGGCCAATACCTTACTGGATCCGCCTCGACCAATCATCTTCAGGATGAAGAATTGTTTGCCTTTGATTGTGATGGAGTCATTCGAAAATGTAGCACCCAAACCCTGGAATGACAGGGCGGCCATATTCGATTTTGCCTGGTTATGGGAGGAGTATGTGCTGCCCATCCACACAGGATCCATGATCTTACCTGAGGGGTTTGCTGCAGATGGGACATCTGGTTCAGAGGGGTGCAGGGCTGCTGGGAAGGGGCGGGGCCACGGGGCACTGTGCTGGGGGCACACTGAGGTGGGTTCTTTTGGACTGGAGTAGCGTAGCTTTGAAAGTCAACGGGAAAGGAGGGAGTCAGACTGACCAGGTCAAAACTGTAAAATTCAGCTCAGAAGACATGACTGATCTCCCAGAATTCTCTCTCACCTGGTGGCACTGAGAGTTTTGTAGTTGGGCGTCTGACAAGTGAGGGTAGAGCTTCCTCTGGTGGCTGGCAGGAGGGGAGGGGCAGGGGCGGGGGCGGGCACAGAAATGAACGGAGAAGGCTTCTCCTGAGAAAAGAACAGGCATCATTTGTAGAGCGCTGCATGCCCCCTGCTGGGGACCTTCATTAATAACTCCACAGCAGCCTTTGGCCACTTCAGCCAAACAATCACATCAATGGCACCTTTCCACTGGCATACAGGAACCAACCCTGGTGGTTTTCCACTGCAGAAGGGTTCCCGGGTTTGGAGAGTGACAGTGGCGTATACCGAAAAGATGCTTATTTACTGTTCACACAGAGTACATCATGATGTGCAATTATTATTTCTTTTACTGTGTGCTAATTTCCTGTAGCACGTCGGTGAGAATAGCTATGTTACGCAAGTATCAATCACTAGCGGAATTAGTATTCGCTTGCATAAAATTTGCATTACGTATCCATTCCGGAAATGCATCAATACATTGCGATGTGAGACACTACTAATAAATAATATATAGAATATATACCTTTACCTTTGGACAATCCATGCGAAAAACACCAGTATCTCCATACATTTCAACCAATAAGATGATGACACAACCAGCTCAGTTTGGTTACGCTTTCAGCCCTGCTTGTAAGCAGGTCCATGTCAGAGTGGGTACAGCTCGGGTACGGCTCGGGTACAGCTCGGGTACGGCTCAGGAACCTGAATTTTTGCACAATTTACTGTCATCTGTGTGTGTTGGGGGGCACAGGGTACTCACCTCGGCAGATGGGTGTCTGTTGATCCGAGCCGGAATCTTCCAGTCCGTGGAGATCTCCTTACACATCGGTCTGTAGGGCCCCGAGCTCGAAGCACCGCCCTGGCTGCAACCCAGCGTGTCCCGTGTCTCAGTCAACGCACCAGCAGAACTTCCTGAAAAAAATATAAAACAAGCTTTAAACACACCAGGACACATGACTGACCAGACTGCCTGTTACACACTGTTGCACACCAACCTGTGACTTTCTCCTTGTCCTCTAGGGGGAGCAGCTGCGCCTTCCCTGCCTTTAGGTTCTGTAAAGCTGTCTCCAGCAGCTCGGTGGGTTTGGCGTTCGCTCCGAAGGCCCTATGTAGTATCAAAGCGCTTTTCTTTGCACTTCCTGTAGGGGGCAGTATCAGCATGCAAAAAAAAAAAAAAAAAGTCAGCATCGTTCTGAAATGCACTTACAGCACGGGTGAATCTGCATAAGTCATACCTTGAGAGAGTTCAAACTGCGCATGTGCGATATGCACAAAGGCAAACATCTTGCTGTTGGACCTTGCCACGATGAAATTGTCCTGAGCTTCTTCCGGATCTTGAATCCTGCGTTAAAAACATCAGTGACCACCGCGTGTCCCGCGCAAACCTTTACGGGACACGATATGAAATGACACCCAGTGTATTAAACACACACTGGAAGGGGCCATCGAGCACTCACGCTTTGAGCTCTGCAAACCGGACCAGCATCTTGGCATAGCTCTCATTCTGGCTGTGTTTAGCCAGAGGCAGAGAAGAGAAGACACGGGTGTAACCATCCATCAGCTTGGTCAGGAGGCTTACGTCGGTCTGGGGGTTGCCCCTCTTCTCCAGGTTCACCAGGTAGGTCCGGCAGGTCTCCGGGGAGTTGGAGCTGAGGACCTGCTTTATACTTTCGGTGTTGTCTGTAAGCGGCATATAATAAGCATGTACCATATAACGAAAGCAGCCACCTAAAAGCACAGCAGGAGACGGAGGGTTAAATCAGCATTACCTTCCGACCAGAGGGATCCCTTCCTCTCCGGCCTATGTAGGAGTGTGGTTGTGGAATCCACCGACCCTGGATCCTCCCACGGGCGAGGCTCAGGACTGATGATTGACGGCTGCGACAGCGAAACAGAGCACAGTGTGAGGTCACATGTTCCCCCGTCGCTACAGTCACCACAAATGTAAGATGGGTTTTCCAGTGCTAGTTTAACCATTGTCATCAAGCAAACCTGTCAAGCCCCATAATACCAAAAGAGGAAAAAGCAACACCTTTCGATTCAGCAGGGTGTACGAGTCCCCATCGCCACTGCTTTTCTTGGACGAGGAGAGGGAAAAGACGGGGTTGGCTTTAGCTCCAGATGCTTGCCTGAAAAGCCATCAAAGTTTCGTTATTGTCGCACCTTTTGGGACTAAAAGTAAGGCATTTGAGGTTTGATGTCATTTTAATGACAAGTTGTAGATTAACACAGTGGACACGCTTCCCTAAGACGTCCCGAATGAGTCACCACAGCGGGCTTTTGAAGAAGATGTTCAGGATTTAATGTTTACATGGCAAAACAAAACCTTTTCTCACGTAGAACACGTGTTGGGGTTATTTGCTTCACCAGAATGTAGCCTCAAAATCAGAGTTTTTGTGACAGAAGCCAGATACACAACATTATCAAGTCAAAATGAGGGAGTGTTAGCACGATATATACATACAAACATAAATACATACACACATGCTGACAAAAATCTGCCTACCAGTTTAAACTGCTTGGACCAGAGCCATCGTTCTTCTTCACAGGCCTCCCATCATCATCATCATCATCCTCAGGGATGGGCAGGGGCACGAGGGGCACCCTGCCTGGCTGGAGAATGGGTAACGGGAGAAACGTCAGTGAGGTGAGCATGCATGCCCACCTGCCCCATCAAGACGCCATGCAGGAATGCCGCATACCATATTACTGGGCTTTTTCCGTTGGGAACTGGACCTCCAGCCCGGAAGTGGGTCCTCCAGAAAGCTGCTCTTCTGATCCATGCTAAAGGCCAGAAGGTAGAATAGTTTGGTATCCAAAAAGGTCAGGAGGCTCTCCATGAGGAAGAGAATGCTGGACTGGTTTAGTTAGCCGGATGATGACTTCCACACATCAGCTGATCAAGCGGAACACCTGCCCACAGACCGATGCTGAGCTAATACAGATTGCACTGGCATGGCGCCCAAGAGGGCCAATCGCTCACAGCCCCAAGGACCAACCCTGGGCCAAGGGCCACAGGCTGATCTGCATCATCTCAATTATTAGTGCCTGTAGAAATAACTACTCAGAAACAACGCCCATGTCTCACATGACACGTGACAATTAAAAACCCACAGAAACCGGCCCTTGCGAGACACGATGGGGGTCTGTATGGGGGACACGTGAGTTACACATAAACTGAACTACAGCAACCATATCAGAATCGGGCAGCAGCTCTAGTAAGATAAAGGACCACGTGGAGAATATTGTACATCCTCAGGTCCAGGTTGGGGCAAGTCTACATTGTTTTGAATGCAGATGTTCTGAAGATCCGTCCAGGTCCACCTGCTACTCACCTAGAACAGAGCAAACCACCCAAATGCAGGTCCCCGGTGCCCTGGGACGGCCGGCTGCTTTTTGTTGGGGCTTGTGTGACAGACAGCGTTGGTGCTAAAAGGGGAAGTTCTGTTAATTCCAGAATGACCCCTCCCCCCAATAAATGCGAGTAAACATTTTCGGTTCGTGACTGACTCAAATCGGCAGATCCACCAAACCAGGCGATATTCTCCTTCTCCTCCTGGGGAAGGAGCTGCGCCTTCCCCGCCTTCAGGTTCTGTAAAGCTGTCTCCAGCAGCTCGGTTGGCTTTGCATTTGTCCAGAAGGCCCTCTGCAGTATCGAAGTGCTTTTCTTCACATTTCCTGTAGGGGGCAGTACAAGCGTGTGAAAACCAGGGTGATTCTGGATCATGTCTATGGCGTGGACGGATTTGCGGAAGCCGCACCTCGAGAGAGCTCGAACTGCGCGTGTGCGATATGCACGAAGGCAAACATCTTGCTGTTGGACCTTGCCACAATGAAGCTGTCCTGAGCTTCATCCGGATCCTGAATCCTACAGCAAATGATAAATTCTCAATAAATGGTCTGTCCACCAGTGATTTCTGTAAAAATGTTGTACATGACCATTAAGCTCACCTAGATACTGCTAAACAGGTACCATAGTCATGTGTTACAAAGCTCACTCGTCATTTAAATTTAACATAAGCATTCATTACATCAACTAGGTTTTAATTATTCTAAAACTGTTTGGTCGAATGACAGAACAGAAGCAGAATTACGGCCACGAACTTGAACACATGAGGGAGGACAGGATTTCAGACTCTGGTTTTGAAGGCCCAAAGTCCGGTCAGGTCAGGTTGGGGAGCATGAACTGGTACGGTGCGTTGCTGCCCCCACCACACAGACGCACCTCGGGATCCCGGTTGGCGACCCCCCCAGGCCGACACGCAGTCCAGTCCCACCCACCAGAAATGGCCGTCTATCGCAGCCAGGTATTACGTGGGCATCTCTTTGGCTTGGTCCAGCTGCTCAGGTCCTCAGCAATGAGTCTCTCAGAGACTCATGCCACAAAGCAGTAATGCCCTAACTGACACTCCTTCACAATGCAGGTAACGTGCATCATCCAGGACTCCCTGAGCAACCACTCATGACACAAAGTCAAACCAAGGGTACCCAAGGATTCGCCGAAGAGACACAGTACCGAAGAAGCCAAAGTCTTCATCTCAGTTCGCTGGATAGTGTCCATGTCTCACAACCATACAACAAAACAGGGAGCACCAGGACTCTGAAGATTTGGACCTTTGTCCTCTAACAGATATTGGGAGAATCACAAATCCCTTTACAGTGACCTCATGACCACTGCAGACACACTGCTGACATCTGTGCCCAAGATGTCATTAAAGGCTTGGCTCTTGGTTTCTATCCAGGATACTCGGAAGCCCAGACACTCGGACTCCTCTCTCAGTGTCTCGAAAACCTCCACTGATGCCATGAAGATCACAGCATTGTTGGTAAAGTGAAGATCAGACAATCTTTCTTCATCAACAAATGCCCCACAGCTGCTGGACCCCACGACCCTGCCCAACACTCAGGCCATGCAAGCATTGAACAGAGCAGGAGCAAGAACGCACCCCTGATGAACTCCAGAATCAACTGGGAAAAACACAGAGGTTCTCTCTCCATTCTGCACAGCACTCACAGTACCAGTGTACAGGCCAGCCATGATATCCAGTTGAGTTGAACGCTTTACGAAAATCGACAACGGCTGCAAAGAAACTGCAGATATTTGCGTCTGCACTCGATGGGAGCCCTCAGTGCCAGAATGAGGTTGACAGTAGATTTCTTAGGCGTAAAACCAGACTGATCCAGTCACTGGTAGGCGAGCAGCTGATCAAAGATCCTGGTGAAGATGACTGCAGCAAGGACCTCACCGAGCACGGAGATCAGTGCCATCCCTCTGCAGCTGCTATAATCCAGGCAATCACCCTTCCACTTCCAGACAAGGACAAGTCCTGTTTTCCAGTCAGTTGGGATGATGCACATTTCCCAAATGAAGCAAAGTTTGCCTGCATTGCCAGGAGGACGGCCTTCCCACCAGCCTGGAGAGGTTCACTCCAGATACCACAGATCCATGCAGCCTCCCCTACCCTCAGCCGGTTCACCATCAGTGCAATCTCAGTGAGATTGTGTGGATCACAGCTAAGTGCAGGATCAGCCTCAGGAATTGTGGGCCCGGGGATGTCAACATGCCAACCAGAGGATCAGCTCTAAACAGCTGCTCAAAGTAGCCAGCGGGTCACAACTGCAGTGTCATCCGTTCCATCACCTGCCATGATTGTGACTCTCCGAGAAACAGATCTGCAAAATGCTTCAGTTCCTCTGTAAGCATGACGTGCGTCGCAAGACCATAGATGGTGTGTCACTTGCTCACAGATTCCTCTAACAAATGGCTCCTTATTTGCACTCAGACCCCTTGCAGCCGTCCTTCTCAGTTCCACCTCTGTGATCCACCACAGCAAGACTACTCCCTGATTATGGCAGCCATCAGAGTGACCAGACCTATAATAGGCATAACCACCTATAAAGACCCCGCCACCCACCGGCTGGCATACCTCAGAGAGTGCCCCCACTGAAATGCAGAGTTTACAAAGTTCCTCTGACAGCAGGGGAACACCTCCCCCCCAATTTTTTTTTTGGAATTTGGAAACTTCCATATTTCTCACTGCAAGTGGTCCTCCAACTTGCAGGGAAATATTTGGGAGTTTGGGGAGGGGGGGGGGGTGTTCCCCAGCTGTCAAATGAACTGTAATGTAAACTCCCAGACGCAGTTTAACATCATACCCAGAACCAAGCATATCAGAAAGACCACTAAGCACTCACGCTTTGAGCTCTGCAAACCGGACAAGCATCTTGGCATAGCTCTCATTCTGGCTGTGCTTGTCCAGAGGCAGACAGGAGAACACGCGAGTGTAGCCATCCATCAGCTTGGTCAGGAGGATTGGATCGGTCTGGGGATTGCCTCTCTTCTCCAGGTTCACCAGGTAGGTCAGACATGCCTCCGGCGAATTGGAGCTGAGGACCTGGTAGATGTCATCTGTTTGTTTTGGACTGATATCATCTGTCAAACATAAACATAGTTAAATCAACCACCTCTAACCATCATGGCCATCAAAGATGAGAGTAAAGGACCAAACCAACCATCAGAGAGAAAGGTAGATTTAATGTTTTTCAGCTTCTGGCACAACAGAGCAAACTGCAACATTCTGTCTGTCTTCTCCTCATTCTCCATATCTGGAAATCAGGCAGCAAAATCAAACAGTGTTACAATCCACGGGAATCCCGGCCGCCATTTTCTACGATCGCCACTGCTATGCGATATAGGTGCATCACAGGGTAACCCCAAGGTAAAATGGGCAGTGCGCTGTCTGTGATCGGCTATTTCTGAGAGATTCCTTGTTATGACATACTTTGGATTCCCCTCTTCAGCCTCGAATTCGAATTTTTCAATTTGATCATACGGTTTGTCATTTTTGCTTGCGCCGAAAATTTTCATCAAGTTCAACCCGTTCTAAACCAAAATCTGCGCTTTGGACAATAACAAAAGCTAATTGGACGCTCTTTCTATTGTTTTTTTCTGTTAACTGGTGAAGTTTCATCAAAATCAAATGAATCCGAGACAGTTATTTACAGTTCCGAAGATCGCCTGTCTGATTGAATGAGTGTTATCAAAATTTATGTTTCTTTACACTCTCCCTGATGAAAACATTTGCTGGTCTTAATCTTACTGTCTCATTTTTTTGTAACATACCTAAACAGTGAGATGCAGCCTAAGATCAAACATACTTAGAACATTAAATAATACCAGTAAAGCAAAAGAGGCAATTTCAGGAACGTTTGTACCATAACGCAAATTATTAAGACAGATTGACACGGTACAGAAACTTCACAACAATACTCAGGTTGAAAATAAACAGCACAGTTGATAATTATACAGTTTATAATTATTACGTATTAAGTTAGCCATCATCGGCAGCATGACTTACTTATTCAACAACAAATCAGTCTACCATGTGTTAAAATTGATTTGTCCAGCTTACTAGCAGCGATCATCTTCTAAAATGTTTATGCAATAAATAGGTGGGTGGGCGATAAACTAAACAACTCATCGTCAACCTGTTCAGAACAGTTCAGCTCTTAAATGAACAGAAACGTCTGCTAGAGGAGCATTCATCAGTTAGTTATATCAGTAAAACTGAATTAGCCTCGTGACTGGTTAGTTTTTTTGCGGTTAAAGAAGAATACCACATCAAATAAGACCTGAAAATAACATTCCAATGCCATTCATTTTAACTGAACTTTGGATAACATGTAATTTTGTGTACTTACCGATACGATCCTATGCTTTAAAGAAATTTCTTTCAAATACAAAAACAAAGCACAGCACTTTACATCGAGCTGTTCTTCGGGCAGCAGGTTTCAAATTCGCCACTTCCGGCCGTGCCGCGCGCTTATTGGTTAGTTCGTATTCCCAAACATGCGTGACGTAAGCCCCTCGATATCGCGAAATCCGTGATTTCGTTTCTCTTTCCCATAGTGTAGACTGATAGGTGTGATGTAGACCTAGTTCTCTTTTAAATTAAGATTTGTCGTTTACACTTGTAACTTGTTTTGTATTTCCCAACTATGCGACTATCTGGAAGTGTTATAGCAAGTGTGACGTCTCACTTTCATTTATATGAATTTATTTTCCTCTTTTTATAATGCAGGTATGCATGCCAGTCCATACACTGCCACTAGTTCATTATGCATATAATTAAATATTTAAAGAATAAACGTATGGAACATGTCTGTGTTTAGTTTCATGTTTATATACGGAAAAGGAAAATACTAATCGAACCAGAGGAGAAAATTCTGGGTGACAAAAGGCACATAATCCCTTCCTTCAGGACTATGAGTCAATTTTGTATTGTTACGCATGCCGTTGACCATGAACTGCAAGACTATTGTCGCCTTGCAAAACGGTGTCACTGTGCGTCCTTTTAAATGCCACTGTTAGGTGATTTTAAATGGACAGAGGCGCACTTGGCTGAACAGACTCCGCATCTTACGATGGATGGAGCCCCGTGGTCCCCTGTCCCATTCCCCTGCCCCGCCGTCATCCCCGCATGCGCGGCGCATCGTCGGGGCTCCGCTCTCCAGGCGTTTGGGTTAGAGCCGCAGCGCTGGGTGCACCATCATCGCTCGGCTACAGGTTTTTGCTGGTGCGGTTTACCTCTGTCTGTTTCGCTGCATCTGACTCTTATGTAATCAAAAGGTGCCGTATTTCCGTTTCTTTCCGCTATATGGTGTCCTAGATTATATTTGATTGACCTTGCCTTGAATGTCATCATAAAAATAATTTATTTTTTTAAGGTAAGCAAACCGAATTTATTCTCATTGTGATGCCTTAAATTTCAGCCTGCGGCATTAGACGCACTGTGCATTATTTTAGTATTGTTTTTTTTTAGGAATTTAAGACATAATTTGAGCGACGTATTTTGTGATCGGAAGCTATAGGAATGGAAATTCAGTAAAATATGCGTACGATGTGGCGGATGTCATACACAGCAATTCTCGTCGTTGATGCCGGTTGTTTACTTAAATCGGAGAGATTATGGGAGATGGGTCTTGAATTTCGGACCCTATAATACTCTCCAACTAAACGTTGCCCAGATATACATGCTTTGTATCAAAACGCCACCTTTGTGGCTATTATAGAATGACATATTGTTAAATATAAGCGGCCACCTAAATTTTACCGTCTTGAGACGCTAGGTCTCTAAATAAAAGCCTTTTTAGAGCAGATGGCAGAACACTTGATCGCAAGCCTGGTATCTGCCTGTGCTTCTTATCCGGTGTGGGGGCGGGGGCATTTTTACTATAAATACAAATCTTAGTTTTCTCTTTCTGTCGTAGTAATTAAACTGTAGGCTTGTTGTGGCCGTATGGAAACAGAATGATTTTTGACCGTGCACAGTCTGCTCATGAGTTTCAACTGTGCGTCTACCGCAGTTACTGTTCCGCACAGATGCGCCGGCGTCTCTTTGTGCGCACTGAGCCGCCGCAGTTGCACGCCCATGTAGTCCGCTTACTCAAGATTAGCTGTGTCGTCTGCTGTGCCATCGCAGTGTCTTGACCGTCGTGGGTTAATGAAATGCAATGTGTTGGCTCGAATTAAAGATACGGGAAATACAGCAGCTTCTCGGCAAGACTATGAGCTGTGATACAATTGATTTTCAATGATGCGGCCATTTCAATACGCGCCACCCTTTCCACGTCTACAGGAGAGACAGAAATAGCGGTTGCACACAAGTAAAAGTCAAGATGGACACTCGTTTATACACAGGCGGAACTCAAGATGGAAACCCATTTCCACACCTGTATTGTGAAGTCAGTGTAGTCTTGTTTTGTCTTTGATTTACACAGTAGGCTAATTACCCTGAGTAGGGTACGACATTTTCTCTGGGGGAACCATCCTGCCTTATTCAGTTAAAAATGTCAGAGGGATGGTATTCAGCTACATAACCATGAGGTGTTTTATTAGTGAGGCTATTTGTGTGTTCAGCTAGGGTAGGGTGTTACAGATGTACTCTGGGTGTTGAGGGACAGACAAAGAGGCGTACTGTGTGAAATACTGCAATGCCCCTCTGTCTTTATACCATAATGAGGAGGTTGATTTCATAAGTCTAGCCAACTGAACATGGAGAGCATCTTACAGAAGGCCCGATTCTGCCTCATGCTTCCTGCAGAAGCAGAGCCCAGCTTGTTTGTGCTCTGCTCGCTGGTTCTGTCCCTTAAACACTGTGCCCTCTGCTGGTCAGTGAATCTTTGTCTGCTTCTGTAATTGAGAAAGGACAGCAGTCCAGGGTTACTGGGTCATGCTTCTGTGCTGTTGTTTTGCAGGTTCATCAGCATACCACAACATGGAGATTGTAAGCAACTTATTAAATGACACCATAGAGTTCTACAAATGGAGCCTTACCATTGCAGGTGAATTCCTGTTTATTTGCTTTTCCCTGCTTATGTGTTCCCATGTCTGGAGGTTTGTAAAGCACCTGCTGACTTTTAACAAAGTGCTCAGCGTGTTACTGATTCAGTGCTAGTTTGTGTAAGTGTTACCTGAGTGCTCCACCAGAGGCGCTGTTCAGCCATGTTCCCCTGCACGTGAAGTGAGGCTTTCTGTGGTCCCGGTGTTCTTCCTATCTCTGTTCTTCACCTGGTTGTGGGTGGTTTAGTCCTGTGGGTTATGACTCGCCCAACACTGGAGACCGTGCTTGTCTAGAATCTTCTTCTTACACATCAGTATCCATGGAGATAGAGCAGTTGCAAATGGAGTTCAGTAGGTATGGTAATAATGGCGCGACTAGGGACATTTGTCTTTGCGTTTATGTGTGTGTATCTGCGTCATAGACAAGCGTGTGGAGAAATGGCCTTTGATGGGGTCTCCCCTGCCCACACTGACCATCAGCTCGCTCTACCTGCTCTTCCTCTGGCTGGGACCCAAGTTCATGCAGCATCGGGAGCCTTTCCAGCTGCGGAAGACTCTCATCGTCTACAACTTCAGTATGGTGGTCCTCAACTTCTTCATCTGGAAGGAGGTGGGAAGCTACTTTTGTCTCTATGAGAAAAAGAGGATGGGAAGAAGGTGAATGGAGCTTAGGAGATGCCAACCTACCACAAAATGAGGGGGACGAGACAGAACTCGTAATACGGAGGATGGTTGTTTCGGTAGCTTGTCAACAGAATTAACCCCAGAGCAAGACATGTAGGTATGTGGATGGCTGGCCTCAGCGAGCAGATAAACCAGCCTGTTGCTCTGTTTCCAGCTCTTCCTGTCCACCCGGGCAGCGGGCTACAGCTACCTGTGTCAGCCTGTCAACTACACGGATGACGAGAATGAAGTGCGGGTGAGCCAGCATGCATGTGTGTGTCCGGGCCGTAATGAGCAGTGTGGCTGCTCCGCTCTGCAGTGAAACGGTCCCCGTGCACCCACTGCTCAGGCCCTTTCAGCGGCGAGGCCCTGTCCCTCTTACAATGTTCTGTCAGAATCTTTTTACAAAGACTGAGGTGATGCTGCTCGAGTACTGAGTGCTGATGTTGGGAGGGAGTTGGAGCTTTTAGGACCGTTTTGGGAGATAGTTATCGTGTATGCTGACCAACTAGGCGTGGCCCTCTCTGCACTACTTAATGTTGGTTCCCTTTGGCTTACAATAGCTTCTCACCTGCCAGCAGTGAGTAAGCCCATCTGCAGTGTCCAAAGCCTCATTTCCCAGTGGCCTCCTGAGCATCTCCTCTCCCTCGAGTGTCACAGCTGATTCTTTACTCCCTGGTTAACCAGGTCATTTTATGCCCTGCTGGTCTGGGCGTCACTAGTGTAAATTAAGGCCAGCTTCAGGCCCTTATCCCCATTTATTACCTCTTGGCAGAATATGTGCATACGTAGAGGCTGAGGTGAATTGGAGTAAGCTGGTTACTGCTGTGTTCTGATTTTACTATCATCTCTGTGCATACTGGATCACTGCAGTGTTCTGAAATCACTGTCAGATCTGTGCACACTGGATCACTGCAGTGTTCTGAAATCACTGTCAGATCTGTGAACACTGGATCACTGCAGTGTTCTGAAATCACTATCAGATCTGTGCATACTGAATCACTGCAGTACTCTGAAATCACTGTCAGATCTGTGCACTCTGGATCACTGCAGTGTTCTGAAATCACTGTCATCTTTGCATACACTGGATCACTGCAGCACTCTGATTTGACCATCTGTGAACTCATCTGACGTGTTTCACTACATCTGCTGTTTTCTGCCAGGTGGCAGCAGCCCTCTGGTGGTACTATGTGTCAAAAGGTGTGGAGTACCTGGACACCGTCTTCTTCATCCTGCGTAAGAAGTTCAACCAAGTCAGCTTTCTGCACGTGTACCACCACTGCTCCATGTTCACTCTCTGGTGGATTGGCATCAAGTGGGTGGCTGGAGGGCAATGTGAGTATTATTCTGTGCATGCGGAGCATTCCTAATATGTGAATACAGGAGAGGGGGTAGCATATGTACCATTCCTAATATGGGCATGCAGGAGAGGGGACAGCATATGTACCATTCCTAATATGGGCATGCAGGAGAGGGGTAGCATATGTACCATTCCTAATATGGCCATAGAGGGAGTGGGACAGTGTATGTACAATTCCTAATGTGGGAATACAAGTGTGGGGACAGTGTGTGTCACTTTCCTATTATGGACATGTATTTGAGTGGATAAAGCACATATTGTGCCTAATTTGAGCATACAGTGGAAGATGCAGTGTACAGTTTTCCCCTGCCATCCGAAAGTGGAGCTTTCCTATGAAACCTTTCATAAGCTGAAATGGAGTAAGGAGAAGAAGCAACTGCCATTGATTTTTATAGGAAATTTTTTTGAGCATTTCTAGATTGAAAAAATAACCTACCAAATAGCACATAAAACCTAATATAA